TCAGAGCACTGTGGTCTAGCTGGAAGGTTTTTGTGTTACACGTTAGCGCTTCCGCTAACGCCTATGTGCTAAATTTGTAGCTATGGAGGGAACGGAGCCTGCGTAGAAGAAGAGTCCCGAAAACAACAAAAACTGTCAAAAGTTTGAAACATTTTAGGCTAAACAGAAAAGATGACACAGCTCAATGCTTCCACTGCAAAGCAGAACTGGAGTAACCACAACAGCACGTCGTCCATGTTGCAGCGCCTGAAGAGAAAACAGCTGCTGTAGCATCAAACTCGTCTGCAGCTGCAAGAGGTATCATGTTCTCTGTGCAAAATATGTTAAACTAAATGTGATCATCATCTGTCATGTTATAGATGTAAAATGAGGCATATTTCTGCTAACGTTAAATCTGCTGACTAATCATAGTGGCTACCTGGCAGGGTCTGTACGTTGTGTGAGGAAATAAACTGCAGGACTTGATGCAAGTTTGTTAAAGATAAAAGCAGCAACAGACTGACACATTTATTTATTGCTGTACTCCCACCCTGACTTAATGAGATATTTAGGGTGAATATTTCAAGTGTAAATGTATTTACATGAGTTAGTAGGATTTTTTTTTCTTCTTGCCGCTGTTTATGACTGAAAACTGATTAATCTGCATTTATTACATTTGTTTATAGCTCAGCAATCAAGACTAAATAGTAATACAGTCTGCAGAACTCGATGCACAAACTCAAACGTTATATTATCTATCTTACTCAGTTTCTAACATAAAGATTACATTCAGTTTTCCAATCCATAAAATTATTTTACAGTATTTAGATTTTTATGTGATGGTTAAAATATTTCAGTGACAGAGGGTTTTAATTAAATCATTCTCAAACCTCACACATAAATAAAAGCGTAAAATGCATAAATCAAGTACAACTGACACTAATGTTACTTTGATTGCAGCAGGTCATCAGAAAGTGTAGATTACTTAACAATATTACATATTTTTATAATATCCAGTGAAGTACACTTGAAAATGTATTAAGGCATTACAATGAACAAACAAATAATAATGTTATTCTTCTTCTTTTCAGTAAATGTCAGAGTCATACGTTGGACAGCTTCGTACAAAGAGCTCCAGGATGTTGGTTGTGCAGCGGCTGAGTTCACAAACAGCATTTTAAATATGATCATCACAGACATGCAGCAGCTGTCCATGGTGGAAGATGAAGGATCCAGAAGATCCTCTCCACCTTCAATCCAAATCATGTCCTTCCTTCCAGATCCTACTTTGTAAATTCCATTCAGTTTTACAATCCATAAAAATTATTTTACAGCATTTAGTGTATTATGTGATGTTTAAAAGTAATTCAACTTAAGCAATAAAATATTTTAAAAAGAGGAATTAAATGGGTTGTTTGTTTAATGTTTTTTCGTGTATTTGCATCACTCATAAAATGAGTACGGTAGTTACTGCAGAACCTGACAAATTTCGTTTTTGATTACCCGATTAATCGTCAGAATAATCTCTAGATTACCCTATTACTAAACTTTTCGTTTACAACAGCCCTAATTGAAAAACACAAAATAAGTGCTTGTCAAACATTCACCATAAAACAGGAATTCATAATAACTCCTGTCTGGAAGGTCGGATTTCGCCTATACTTATAAGACCTGCAACTGGACAAGTACTGAGTTTCGGTTTTCATGAGCTGTATGCCATAATCATCAGTATTAAAACAATTAAAGACCTGAAATATTTCAGTTGGTGTGCAATGAATCTGAAATATATGAAAGTTTCATTTTTATCATTACATTATGGAAAATAATGACCTTTATCACAATATGCTCATTTTTTGAGAAGGACCTGTATGACATTAAATAGTTGGACTTCCGGACCTTGGACTAATGAAATTTTGTCTAACTGGACCTCTTTAAATTAAACTGTCATAGTGGATCAACCAGTTTGTTGTTCAATTCAATTCAGTTTATTTATATAGCGCCAAATCACAACAAATTGTCTCAGGGCAAGCTTTTTTTTCTGCAGCTGTGCAGCCTCCATGCCACACGTTGATGCTGGAGCACAGGATGCTCTCCACTGCACACCTGTAGAAGGAGGTGAGGACTGAGCTTCCCAGACCAGCTCGTCTCAGTCGCCTGAGGAAGTAGAGTCTCTGATGAGCTTTCTTCATCAGGCTGGTGGTGTTGCTCCAGCTGAGGTTGTTGCTCAGGTGCACACCCAAGTACTTGTAGCTGGAGACCACTTCCACCACAGATCCTCCTATGTTCAGGGGGGTGTAGATGTTTTTGTTCCTTCTGAAGTCTACAATCATCTCCATCTTCTTCACATTGATGTGATTTAACAATAATAATAACAATAACACACAGAACATACCTGGGATCCTGAACAGGCTTAATTAACATAACAAGCCAACGAGTCCAACAAGCAAGTTACCATCCTCAACGTCACTTCTGAACAACTCCGCCAACTCCGGAGGAGGGGGGTGGGGGGTTATCAGAAATCAATCAATCAACCTTTATTTATACAGGTAAATCCCATTGAGCCTCGAGGACTCATTTACAAGAGAGACCTGATTTCAACAAAGAAAGATGACAACAATGGACAACAGCAACAACAATAAACAGTTATAAAAAAAGCATACTACAGTTGTTTTTTTTAACAAATAGGATGGCTAAAAGGAAAAGGTAACAAAACAAAAAAAAACAGCTAGATTCCAAGACAAATGTAGAAAACTAAAAACAGGAACATGTCAGCATTGGACCCTGCCAGGTGTCCAACAGATTCTTAAAGACACTTAGAGAGGTCAAAGGTCGAGAGCTTCAAATCTTTTTACAAGATATTCCAGAAAACAGGAGCGGAGTAGGAGAAGGCCCTTTTGCATAGTTCAATCCTCATTGAGGGAACACTGCAGGTAATAATGTCCTGAGAGCGCACGCTGTAGCTGCACTCACGCAGAGACAAGTAGGAGGAGATGTATGAAGGCAGCAGACCAAGAAGTGATTTAAAGATGAAAATGTACCAGTGAGAGAGTCTGCGTGAAGTTAATGATGTCCAGTTAACCAGTGAATACTGGTTGCAGTGGTGGGTACGATAACCACAGCCAGTTATGAATCTTAGTGCACCATGATAGACAGCATCCAACATCTGCAGGGTTCAAAAAGAAAAGGAACCACATATAGTTGTCAAAGCCTAGAGGGCCCTCTCGCAGCTGCAAATGGTCATGTTTACTGTTTGGTTCATGTCAGTATGAATAAACATAAACAAGTCAGTCAACAATTGTCATGAATAGGGGAAAACAACATATACAAGTCGCTTCAGACTATATGTCGCAAGGCTGGCCATCTACGAAAAAAGGTCTGACTTAAAGTCCAGAAAATATGATACTATAATTTGACTTCTGTGCTTCATCTTTACTGTTTCAATGAAGTAACATTTGTTTCTAAAGTACTGGAGAAAATAGTCGAGTCCCAGTTAAAGTGCTTCCTGGAGGATCACGCCATCTTAGAGCTTTTCCAATCTGTCTTTAAACCTCTTCACAGCACTGAAACTGCCCTGCTGAAGGTCTTTAACAACATCTTCAGATTCACAGATAGCGGTGATTCTGTGCTGCTTGTCCTGTTGGACCTCACAGCCGCCTTTGACACATCGACCATGAGATCCTCATTGCTAGGTTGGAGTAGTGGGTGGGCATCACAGGATCAGCCCTCAATTGGTTCAGATCTTACCTCACTGACAGATCCTTTTGTGTCTCCATCAAGGATTTTAGTTCCGCAGAGGCAGAGCTCAAATGGGGGGTTTCGCAGGGGTCCATCCTGGGTCCCCTCCTATTCTCTTTATACCTGCTGCCGCTTGGTACTATTTTCCGGAAACACATGTCCTTCCACTTCTATGCCGATGACTGTCAGATTTACTTTCCCCTAAGACAAAATGGTACATGCTCTATTCAACCGCTGCTCAACTGCCTGGCTGACATCAGGGATTGGATGGCTTTAAACTTCTTAAGTTTCAATGAAAAGAAGTCTGAAGTCATGTTGTTCCCTCCCAACGACACAATCACAAACCACTGCATCGACCTTTCCACTCTAACCCTGTCAGAAAAGCAAAGAGTCACTAATCTGGGCGTGATAATGGACCCCTCCCTGAAGCTTAACAATCATGTAAACATGATTGTAAAATCATGCTTCTTCCAACTGAGGCGGCTGTCTAAACTGAAGCCCATACTGTCCAAAAATAACCTGGAGACAGTAATACATGCATTCATTACATCTGGGCTTGATTACTGCAATTCACTCCTGTTTGGTATCAGTCAAACCTCCATAGCACGACTACAACTGGTCCAGAATGCAGCAGCCCGATTTTTAACCAGCACAGGCAGAAGAGAGCACATTACACCAGTTTTGGCCTCACTGCACTGGTTACCGGTTCACTTTCGAATCCAGTTCAAAATACTCATGTATGTCTACAAATCACTGAACAGTGTCCCCCCCCCCCCCCCCGCCCCCATGTCTCTGATCTGCTACAACCGTATGTCCCACCACGCTCCCTGAGGTCAGCAGACCAATTGCTCCTCACAGTTCCAGGAACTCGTCTTAAGCGCAGAGGTGACAGGACCTTCTCTGTAGGAGGACCAAGACTTTGGAACGAGTTACCCCTGCTTGTCAGACAGGCCCCCTCCCTCTCGGTTTTCAAGTCCCATTTAAAAACTCAGTACTATTCAGTAGCTTTCAACACAAGATGTTCTGTTTTGATCCTGTATGCTCCACACTGGTTTGTTGTCATTATCTGCATCGTTTTTATGTCTATATTCTGATTTACCTCATTTTGTATTTTGCTTTGTGTGTTACCTGTTGTTCTGTCTGTACAGCACTTTGGTTGGCTTTGTAGCTGTTTTAAGTGCTTTATAAATAAAGTGGTATGGTATGGTAACAGAAATAAGGATGACTGACCCAAAGTTTAGATGTTTTTTTAATGAACGTTCATTTTAAATTTGTTTGTTTTCCAGAACTTGGAGCTGGTGAAGGTTGATGACATGTCTGATATCATCATCAGGCAAGGCCAATGAGAAGAAAAGAATTAACTCATGGAGTCACATTTTTTGTTTGTCAGTCTTTGCCTTTTTTTTAAATTGCTCTTTTTTTTTTTTTTTGCCTTTGTTCCTTTCTGATGTTTTTGTCAAAATAAATCTGCTTTTATTCTTTGTAGCTTGTATTGCTTTTATTTTGTTCTTTTTTTCATTCAACCTTTATTTAGACAGGTAAATCCCATTGAGCCTCGAGGACTCATTTACAAGAGAGACCTGATTTAAAAAAAGAACGATGAAAACAATGGACAACAGTGACAACAATAGTTATAAAAAGGCATACAGATTTTTTTTTTTTTTACAAATAAGATGGCTAAAAAAGAAACAAAAAATAGATAGATTATAAGGCGAATGTAGAAAACTAAAAACAGCAACATGTCTGCATTGGTCCCTGCCAGTAGTCCAACAGATTCTTAAAGCCACTAAAGCCCCTTATCCACGGGTCTTTTTGGTACTCCTATGTAACTAGTTGTGGCCGATTGCGGGATTTATCAACAATGCCTCTAGTGGTGAAACCCACCCCATTTTTGGGACCTAAATCACTGAGGTCCCAGGTCTGGTTCTTGTAGGGTCTAGTTGTGACATCAGCGCACTGTAGGTCACTGATTGGTCAGGGGGCGTATTCATTGGTGGAGGGCGGAGATTCAGTCTTCCACCGGAAATCACAATCCACCATTTTCTTTTTCACCCGCATAACAGACAACAAGAAATCGGAGGAGCTTATTTTGGAATATTTTATAAGGTAAAACAAATAATCATGGCACAACCGTGGTCGAATGCTGAAGTTCAGGCATTTCTCTGTTTGCTGGCCGATGAACAAGTGCAGCGCGAGCTAGATGGAACGAAACGAAATGAAAAGATTTTTCAAGAGGTGTCTGCGCAGATGGCGGTGCAGGGCTTCCATCGCACACCAAAGCAAAGAGGAAAGCTTAAAAAACTAATAGTTGATGGTGAGTGTATTTTATTTACTTTAAGCATATTTCCTTTTCCTCATGCAACCGTTTCTTTGCGTTTTCTGAAAGTACTCTGAACAAACGAGGCTGACTCGGTTACGTCGTCATTAGTTAGCATCATTGCTAACTGTACTCTGTTGCTGTTTTTCCACTCTTATTTTGATGCAGAAAGTCCCACTGAACATGAAGGTTCGCCAGATTCAGCTTTTGACTGTCCAATCCTCCCCGCTTCTGACCCTTCCCGACCACACCAGCTCCGAGTACGTGCATGCCACCGGGCACATCTACGCCACCGGGCGCATGCACGCCACCGGGCAACACGCAGCAGAGCGGCACCCGTTACTAGTAAGAAGCAACAATCGTGTTTAACATGACATTGATCATGTTGATATGAATGTTGTTTTGTTTTTGTTGTAAAACACCTTGCATGTATTCAAACTACTTGTTTATTCAGTTGTAATGTATAAATGTTAAATTTAGTTATTCATTTATTACTTAAAGTTTCATTTATGAAGTTTATTATTGAAATTATACAGGGTGTAGTGATTTTTGTTCAGATTAACGATGCTCTGCTCTTTTTCTAAATGAGCACAAACCGTTGTAAATGACTACATGTAGTTTATTTATGCCCACCTGCTTACTATCATTAAAGTACTAGACTGCTTTATGAACAGAATCATTTCTGATCTTGTAAACAAACACCTTTTGAAATTAGCAGGAACTTTAATGTAAATAATTTATTTAAAAACTCTACCTGTACTTCATCATCTAACAGCCATTTTCTTGTGTGTTATTCCTAGGCAATAGAAAGCGCAGATCAACAAGTGCAGCAGAGAGCTTTGTTTCTGCGCATACAGAACAAGAGGAGATGAACCGGAAGCAGAGAGAGGAACACTTCCATTTTATTTGTGAGGATGCCAAAAAAGCAAGGCAAGAAGAAGCTGCAGCAGCGAGGAAGCAGGAGAAGGCAATTAGGAGGGAGGAGATGGCCTTGAGGAGAGAGGAAGCAGATGTTCGCAGAGAGGAAGCAGCACAGCGAAGGCAGGAGGCTGAACAGAGTGCTGCTTTCAGTCAGGCACTCCTTGGGGTGCTGGAATCCATTGCCCGTTCCATGGCAAACAGACATGTTTAAAAATATTTAGAGTAGATCATAGTTGATCTATAGAAATGTAGATCCTGCAAGGTAAGCCCACAAATAGCCAAACGTAGCTTGTTAAGGTTGCATATATAATTAGTGTATAATTGGTTTTTTTTGTACAGGTCTTTATTTCTAATAAAAGAAACATTTTCAAGTCTTGAGCTTCCATCTGATCATCAAAAGTGAAGTGCTTACAGTGTTTTTTTACGTCAATAGTGTAGATAAGTGAAGTAATTGTTTTTTACCTGTAACAATGCTGGTGAAGATTCTCAGTTATCCTTGACACGGCAAATCCCCCCCAAAAAATATAAAAACAAAACCACAGGACTTTTTTTAAAACTGAAGACGTTTCGCTAATCATCCGAGGAGCACTCACAATTCAATGAAAAAAGGAATCTGGGATTAAAGTTATAAAGCTGTGGTGTTCTGTAAGCTTGCTGGAGGTTTTCAGTCATTGCATGTCAAACACCTCGACCATGATGTCCATCTTGTGGATCCAGCAGCTTCTGCATCTTTTTCGCCCAAGGTCAAAAATTCTCTCCACGACTTTCACTGTGGTACAAAGGAGCACTAACTTAATATTACTTAACAGCACTTCAATCATGAAGATAATTTACGACAGCTTAATTTAAAGAGCTGCGTGGTAAGCATAAACTCTGAAAGAGTTGTTAAATATCAAATCAAATGTAGGTTATTATGTAATGTACGTAATATATATATATATGTATATATATATATATATACATACATATATAAAAATCAAATTACAAAAAGACTATTAATCCCAGAGGGAAATTAAATGTAATTCATCAT